CGACTAGCGCAAGAAAGGTGCCGTTTTGATTACAAAACAAACTAAGATCGTAATACTCACCTCTGGCGACACTTTTCCAAACTCTCGTGTTGCCAACAATGTCTCCCAAACATCATTTCTTTCTCAAACGAAGCAGACGAGTGTAAATCGAAACGAAGAACGCGTCGTAGTGGTTGAATCCAAAGGCGTCTCCAAAGCTCAGAATATTTACCGCGTTAACGTCAAGTTTTCTCGTATTTCTTCAGGGAAAAACTTCGGATTGTTCAAATTTTCATTTTCCAAAGCTTGAAAAGGAGATGTTTGTGTTTAAGTGCAAAAATAATGGAAGATTTTCTGTTCTTTTCTTGTCGTTATTCAACTGAACAGGAAAGCACCATGCATCACGTTCGCGCCGAAATTTTGATCTTGTTGTAATGACATCTCGCACATGCGCAGACGTTATTCAGCCCTGTCTCTGTGGTATCTTCGCATGAAATGACAAGGCCTGGACACTAGGGCATCTAATATGGCGGATGATTTGTGTCTCCGTCATTGTCCTCTTGCAATTTTCATTTGGTTTTTATTTCACGGCCCGGTTTTTAGCGTAGTGGATGAGGATCTTTGGAAAATTTACAGCATCTCCCTGCAGGATCACTCCGTTTGTGAGACAAAAACGTTTTTACAGTTGGTACAAAACGTCGCTGTTTGTCGAAAGACAGAACTAACAGAATTTGAAAACTGGAGTTTTATGGAAAGGAGTATTCTATTGCAAGAATTTGATGTGGACAAAGAAACGAGAAATTATGTATGACAAGTAGATGGAGAAGTTTTTTCAAAAGTTCATCCAGTTCCTCTCAAATATAAACCTTATTTGGTGGCGATTTCTCGAGGAGTGGTGACCGAAATTCTTGATTTGAGTGACACTGTCTCAGAATCTCAAGCATTCATAGACTTTGCAGCGAGAATTAAAATAATACCAAACTCTATTGTGCTATCACATAGATACGGCGAACATCAGGTAAGGTTTCGTCATTCTACTGGTTCGTTCTGACTGCTTTTATTTGGAATCTTATTCTTGTGAATTATTTAAACAAAAAGCTAATAAATAAGAGCGAGGACTCAGACGCAGTCCAATAAGCTTGAAATTTATTATTTTCCTGGTACTTTTCTTGGCTGGATTGACTTATTTTTCTTTGCGTAGTTTGGCGATTGGGCAGGTCAACTAGGAGATGGACGTGCTGTGATTTTGGGGGAATACACTAATAGGTGATGTATATCTGCAGGTTACAATAAACGCTATTCTTTGGTACGTACTTGTTGCGTGTGTTTTATACAATTCTTTTGGATGTGATGCAACCCTCCACGAGATACCAAAGCCCAGCTGTGAAGGAAACTTCTTTTAGTGTTTCTAAAACAGTAATAACATTGGTACCGATAATCCAAGAGTTTAAGTCATAAATTTCATGAAGCTTTTATTCAAATGAAACAAGACTTTATATATGTATATATATATATATATGAGTCATTTCCACTAGCATTGCACATAGCTCACTAGGCTTTTGTAGTTTTATCACTCTGGCATGGCTTAGACGATACCACAAATGTGGGATCGTTCGGGGTAACCATATCTGTTCTCCCTTACCCTCATCAGTGCTGCACTGATGAGGCCCAGAAGGCTGAAACGGCTGGTACTGTCTGAAGTTATATAATTATATATATATATAATATATATAGTTATATATATATGTATATATAACTATATGGTCAAAAATATTTCTGACCATACGAAACAGAGCTGTCATAATAAAACAATGAACGACCTCTGAAGTCTTGAACCAGTTTGTTATAATTAGATACATACATACATATACATACAGTAGGTAGCGATCAAACAAGACGACACATGGTTTCTGTTACTCGGGGTTTCGTGCTTACTCACTCATCAGACAGACGAGTGTGTAAGCACAAAACTCCAAGTAACATATATATATATATATATATATATATATAACTGCAGACAGTACTGTTTCGGCCTTCTGGGCCTCATCAGTGCAGTGCTAATGCTAGGATGGAGGAGAACCAATATGGTCACCCCAAACGATCCAACCTTTGTGGTATCGTCTAAGCCATGCCAAAGGTGCACGGCGCCGGGAGGATCAATAAAGATTCGCAGTCCAAACCTCACAGCCAACACGAACGTAGAAAGTTTAAAAAATTGCGAGGATGGACAACTTCTGACGTAAAAAAAAATAAAAAATTTTAATTAAAAACGTTTCGGTCAGAGACCTAAATATGTTAAGAGCACCGTAAACNAAATAGTCAAAAACCTTATTGACTCACTTGTGTCTTCATCCTGAGAACAAAAATTGGCATCATCCCACCATTTGCGCTTCAGTGAGTCCAGAAACTGATTCTCGTGAAGGTGCAAAATGGTCAGCGTAAATTTGTCAGTATGAGGGTCATGCGCTCTGAAAGTTAGGGCGAAACCTTTGGCTGTGGTTAAACCTGGAACTGAAAATCAGAAATGTACACAAGTTAAAAGAACTGTCATTTTCGACTTGAACGGTTCTGAAAAATATTCACGTCTTATACCTGAACAGTTAACCCTTTTTATTGCTGTAAAAATTTTGGTAAACGATTCAGGATTTAGTAAACAATTGAACGGTTCTGAAAAATATTCACGTCTTATACCTGAACAGTTAACCCTTTTCATTGGTGTAAAAATTTTTAAACAATTCAGTCCGACAAAAGATCGTCACAGCTATTGGCATTATGAGCGGGCTCTTTCACGTGGGTGGAGTCATTTTACAACATTTACCTACTCTAAGGTCACATGGCCGCTTCATGGCAAAGTATCTGAGGACTGGTCCGTCATAAATAAATGCAAAATTATCCTTTTCTCGAACCCATTGAACTCCCACCCCGGCGCTTTTTACTAGTGTTTTATCTGCTTGGACCCTTTTCCAAATCTTCATGTGCGGCTGGTACTGAGTTGTCCTAAATGTTGCGGAAACACTGGTGGAGGAGACAACTGCCAATTTGTAGGAGGTTTTTAAAATATCGTTCAGATTGTTGATCGGCTCAGCTGCATTTTTCACGGTAAGGAAGGCGGCAAGATTGGCTGTGTATGTTGAGACCCAGACAAGAATACATAACCAGTAGCAACCGGTCAGAATTCGACCTAAGATGAAAAAAGGACAAACTCGCAATTAATAAGACAATGGGGTTCGTGTTCGCCAGGATAAATGTGTTTTGGGCTCCACTTGAGAGTCATTCTGGCCTGAGCCGTTAGACTGTATTACTCAATAACTGTATTACTGTTTTGATCACTTTGGGAGGCATTGATAAAAAAATAGCTGAAAACAAAATGATCACGCGAGCGTATGAGCAAGTTAAATTGCATTTTAGCCCTTAAAATCTGCCACAATGCATGACAAAGTGATGAACATTCCATTGAAATCTCTTATTAAATAGTATATGAAACTGGTTTATTACTGACACACAAAAATCAACTTTGTTAGTTTTCTACCCATGTCAATCCAAATTCTTTAATTTATCGTTGATAGATATTGATATGTTAACAAGAGACGACCAAGGAGCTGTGCCTTAGTAATGAATGCACTAATGAGTTTATAAAACTTTAAAAGAACTTTAGAAGCCATTACTGCATTATTTTAGTGGCTAGCTTAAAGAAGGTAACTAAGTAAACAACTACGCGAACGTGTGAGCAAGCTTAGATCTCTATTCCAGCCCACGAAATGCGCATAATGCACGATGAAATGATAATCATACCGCGTTGCGTTGGTTTCTCCTTCGCTCGCAAAACCAACGGATCAACGAAATAGGCATAGCAGAGATAGCACATGTTATAAATCAGTCTGCAGTTTATCGTATGAGTGGTGATCTTTGCAGTATGGATAGCTGTGCTAACATTACCTGATAATATGTATGAAAGTGATCCTCGCAGTAATTAATAAACCCTACTTATGTAGTAGTGGAAATAAGGCCTCAAAAAAAATTCAGGCACGTCTGCGAATTGAACCCATGACCTCTGCGATACCGGTGCAGTGCTGTACCAACTGGGCTAACATGCCAACTGGGAGCTAGTCATTATGTTGGTTCTTATTAAACCCGTGGGTTAGGGTGATGGTTATTCGTACGGGTTTAATACCGAACCGACATAACGACTAGCTCCCAGACGGGTTTAATACGAACCATTCATGAAACCGCAGTACGCATATTTAATTGATTTATTTCACTTCGACTGGTTTAATACGAACCAACATAACGACTAGCTCCCGGTTGGCATGTAAGCTCAGTTGGTAGAGCACTGCACCGGTATCGCAGAGGTCATGGGTTCAAATCCCGTACGGGCCTGAAATTTGTTTTCAAGCCTTATTTCCGTTACTACGTAAGCAGGGTTTGTTACTGCGAGGATCGCTTTCATACATTTCATGAAACTGCAATACACACATGATTTTTTTATATTCAAGAGTTCGTTGATTACCTGATAAGTTCCTCGGTGTCCTATCTCCTCCTTGCTGCAGCATACAAGCCACAGAAAACCACACGCTGTTGAAGAAATTAAACTCCTCTGACGTTCCTCTGCCATTTTCATCTTTGTATCCATAAGGACTGTAGTAATTTAATACAAAGACAACAACAGAGAAGAGGGCCACTACACCCAGAGTAGCGATCCAAACTCCATTTTCAAATGGATCCATGAACTGCAGTAAATCAGTTGCCTCTGTTGATGTTTTCTTCACCAGTAGATCGTCAGTGTAATACATGTAAGGAACAGTGAAATCCACCACCTTTTCTCGGGTTTCAGTGATGGTGACGGGCGCAGCTGCCATGTTCGCATTCTTATAGAAGACAAAAGTGAAAGTTTTGGTCTACAGTTAAGCGTTTGAGAACTAAGTTGGGGTTTATAGATTTAAACTGCCACACTCGCACTTCGTGCTGCCTTCCGCCTATTTTAATAAGGCTTCATATAAAGCTGAATATCCTTTACGTGCATTAATGTCAGTTAGACTTCATTTCTTTAGGCAAGGTTACGGTGGTTTCCGTCTAAGTCACGATATTATCTGCTGTAAATATTTAGTATTTCATCTAGATCTGGTGCTTTTGGAGAAGAGAGTCAACTTTCCAGCTAATTACCCCGTTTATAATTTCTCCTATCATGCCGTTCCAAGTTCCATTTTCCGTCAATGCTCCATAAAATCCATCTGGTGATGGGTACATTTCATATGTGAACCCGAGTAATCGAGACAGCTCCTTGAGAAGATCAATAGAATATCCTTGGAGTGAATTCGTCCCATCTTCATTCTCCTTTGGCATTATGAATGGTGGCTCCTATTTTGTATTTCATGAAGAAGACAAGTGTTAAACGAGTGCCACTAGAGAGTTTTGCGCCCCTCCCTTCGCGCCGTCTCGCGCTTGCCTCCGTTCGACTACGCCCGTTCTGGAGAGAGCTACTAGAGAGAGATAGAATATACAGAAAGGCTGAATTCAGAGTATTTGATCTCAGGTTCGCTATTACATAACTAGTAATAAATTGTTTTAAAATTGCCATGAGGCATAAAAAGATTTAAAACTTTCTTGAACGTCGCGATAATCACTATCATCCTTCTCCAAGCTACCCAAGCTACTTCGTGTAGTAAATGAAAACAACTTTCAACACACAAGCAACTTGCTCAATACAAATACCTTAACATATACAATCCTGAAATGCCTCCCTTTTAATTCTCCATTACTTGATGATCCTGGTAAAGTGTTTGGTAATGGATCCTTATAAAGAACTGCTCGTTTCGTTGAATTCCACCAGCCAATCTATCATGAAAAAAGAAAAAAACCAAAATATACAAAGAAATGAGACGAATGTTGGCCAGGAAAGTGTTAATTGTGGTAGCTTGTGTAAATGTTTGAAATAGGGAGGGAATTGATAGAAATGACAGGCAAAAGGTTTAATCATTTTAATTTTTTTTTTTTCAGTATTCAAGTTAGGTAATTAGAGCTGTGGGTGACCTAATAAGTTAAACCCCGAAATCTTCAATTTGGTCAGTTTTATCTCACCTTTTGGAAAGAACCATTTTGAAGATTTAAGATTTCCAGACAGACGTCTTTTCGGTTTCCGCTGTCATCAAACTGCACAGACCCAGTCATACCGTTGAATTTAACCTGATTAGAGATAAACGAAGTAACTAAACATAAAAAGATCTGGTAACTCTCATTTACAAATTACATGAACTCCGCGAGTAATCCGTGACGTAATCCGTGACGTAATCCGTGACATTGAAAGACCGGCACGAAGTGCAACTGGCAGAGTAATCTATGAATACTGATACAACACTTTCATTCTTTCCCAGAATTCTCTCTTGTGATACAAGGAACAGCGCGCATTCAAATACAACCACACGTGGTGAATAAGTAACATTTGGAAAAAAAATTTGCATTTAAACGCGCTCAACAGCGGCTTCCTAGAAAGATCCACCGATAATAAGANCAGATTGCTGGAAACTCTTTGCTCAACTCTGAAATTGTACTAAAGCGTCATATAAGGAACCGCTCGACCAATCAGATTGCTGGAAACTCTTTGCTCAGCTCTGAAATTATACTAATGTTGTATAGAACTGCCAAAAAAAGAACATATAAGATATAAATAAAACATCAAGACTATGGCTGGTCTAATAATCATTACTGCAAGGAGAATATTTATTTGTCTAACAATCTCATGACTCGTGAGTTTACAATACCTTTAGCTTGTTGGTAGATTTGAATTTTCCTTGTTCTGATGATCCAAAGTGTTTATCAACAAAGCTGCTTTTAAATGGGAGCTTAAATGCCAGGACTACATGGTCGGGAATACTTCTCTGGTTTTGGGATACCTGTGCAAACAAGCGAGTAAAAATCATGTTCAAAGTCTTAGTATTTCACTCTTAATCAAGAGCAAAACGCTTTTAAGTCCTGCCTACTCAAGTTAGTTACCTGTTCTTGGAGTATCCACTGATACGGAAAATGTCTTTGACAAGGAACCTGACACAAATAAAATTCAAAAACTGTAACTGTGCATGACTCCTTCGTAACTTTTACTGACTACAAGTTTTTTTTTGCCCAGCAAAACCTAATGTACTTCTGCAAGAGAAAATCTCTTGATTTCTGGTAACGATGGAGAGCAGAAACATTGGTAACGTATCTTCAGCTCATACTTTATGGATAGTGAAACTGCTGAAGGCTAAGAGACTTTGCACGAGTTCTGAAAAAAAGAAGATCGAACGTGGCACTGAGTAGATCATGCACAATGACGTCACTCTCGAACTGAGAGATCAGCCTTAAACGTGAAAATGAGAAATTGTTCTTCGTAGGAAAAAGAAACAATTGTTATAGTGAGCACAATGTTGTAGCTGGTGTTGATCCTCACATCCACTACTATAGTAAATCAAGTCAATGCATACAAACTGTTCGAATGAGGCCTTAAGCTGCTGTCTAAAATTAAAATTTAAAATGCAAGCTTTCGTTGATCAACTGATGATGCCATTGATCGGCGAAAGCTTGGATTTTAAATGTTACTGTTAGACAGCAGTTTAAAGCCTCATTGAAACAGTTTGTATGTTTTTTAACTATGCTGCTGAAGGACAACAAGAACAGATTATCAAATTAATAAGTGTGGATATATGAAGACTTCCCTAACCTGTTGCAGGATCAAATCTGTGTTTTCCTTTCCTGTGTAGAGTAGAATACCCTCCGGTTGGTAGCTTTGTATCTGTCCTATTATTTGCCAAATTTTTTTTTGTCTATCTTCGGCGTCTTTTGTCTCTGCCATCTGGATTAAATCCATGGTGAGTGTTGACTTCTTATAGTTGAGATAGAAATATCCAGCCTCAACAAAGCGACTCTCTATGCAAACAGACAAAAAGAGCCGTATGAAGGCTAAATTTTGAAACATAAGCTTAACTTGCCACTACCCCGGGAAAGTAAGAATATACACCCTGAAGATTCCTGGCAAGAGAAAGTGAGTATAGGTGGGTAGCATGGCAAAAAAAAGTAATGGGAAAAATAACATGAGCGGTGTACTTCACGCAAAGAATTGTGGGTATCAGTTTCAACACCAACTACAGGTATATAGGTTTTCTTATTTTGATTGATGGGTTCTCTGTCATAGCATCATGCTAGTATATTCAAATTACCATCAAAGATCAGTAGAAGTCTCCTCCATTTCAGTATGTTCAGTACATCAAATGTTGCATGCGCGAAATATCTGTATCCCGCTGACATATCCACTGCTCTCTCACATTGGTCAAACTTCCCGCCGCTTCCATGGAGACGTATTACAGAAACACCCATTACCAATGAGATTGCGCATGCAGATGCTCTTGAATAGCTTCCCTCAATGAGTGTGGTGATGTTTTGTTGGTGAATCCCTGAAACGGCTGCAATGAATGATGTTTAACCTTTTAAATTGCCTTGTAACCATACCAGCTATCTATCATCCATTTTACTGAGTTCATTTTAATAACGGTTGTTAAATATTTCAATAGTCTTGTACCTATGCCAGCTCTTTTATTTATAATGAATTTTATTTTTGTCCCAAGCTCCTTAATTTTGTTTTACATCTCATTATATTTGCTGCAATGATTAACCGAACAGGCGTAACTATTATCTTTATTTGTACCTTTTATGAAAAACTGTCCTCAACCAGTTTGGTTAGAATATATAATTTTTAATAGGGAATTATACATAAAATATATATAATGTTATCGTAGGTTCATTCTCCTGTTTTGTGACCTCATGATTGATGACTCATGCTATGGTAGTATTTACATGAAGGTTAGTATCCAAATCTCGTAGAAAGAATGATATACGAGGGCAAATGTAAGGAGCTACGCATCTCATTTCCAAGTTCCCCACCTGACTTCGACCCAATTGTGGTGAATAGTAAGGAGTTAGAGTACGTTCATAGAGCTAAGATGTTAGGTGTCACCTTCTCCGTCGATCTCACATGGAACGCACGTGTAGATGAGATAGTAAAGAAAGTCAACAAGCGGCTTTACTTCTTACGCCGATTAAAGCGCGCCCAGGTTAAGTCTAAGGAGCTCGTTTTATTCTATCTTACATGTATTAGATCTGTTATGGAATACGCATGCGCGCTCTTTCACAGCAGCCTACCTCAATATTTATCAGTTGATTTGGAAAGATGCCAGAAGCGCGCATTACGTATAATTTTCCCTCATAAAGAATATGACGAGGCGCTATCGTGCACTGGGCTTATCTCGCTGCGTGAGCGGCGCGAGAATATTGCCAACAAGCTCTTTTCCAACGTTCTTGCACCAAATCACAAGCTGCATAAGCTCCTGCCGCCCAGGAATGTATCTAGGATGGACTTAAGGAAAAAGCGCGCTTTTAATTTACCTGTGGTTCGAACGAACAGGTACCATGATAGTTTTATCTTTCATCATTTACGCACGCTTTGAATAAGTTGATTCTATTTATGTAACCTAATTTTTAATATGTTAAAACTATGTTACCATTTTTATATATTTCTTAAATTTGTAATGAATACATAATTCAACCTTCGGTTGCAATGTTTTTCAAATAAAACTGTCTATCTACCTATCTGTCTAGTCTATATACCCTTTATCAACATTTCTTACCTCGGTCAAATAGGCCTACAGAGGTTGATGTATTAAAAACCTTTAATATTATTGAGATGTTGCTTTTTGTATTACTATGAGCCACAGCAAACTTCAACGCCTCATATTCTTCAGTATTTCCATTATCTATAAATCCTATTTGGCGACAAAGAGGAAAAAGAAATAAGGTGAAAAGATCTATTTTACATAATTCAAGTAGCAAAACCGGAAGAAAACAAACAGGATTTAAACAGCTAAAGAGCTTCATGAAACCAGCTTCCTCTGTTAACATGCTTCTATCAATACAATACTTTATTCAAGAGAAAGGAAAATAAAAAAATTGTAAAAGTATCTCTCGAAACTTCGACCAGATGAGAGGTCCCATATATTTAATAGAATTCCTACCAAATCTTACAGTTTCGAATCTTGGCAGTTCAAAGTCACTGTTCCGTAAATTATATTGAGTGTTCTTTATATTAAATAAGTCAGAAATATTCTCAGGTACGAGACTGTGCTTAACTTTAAACATCAAAGTGGCAATGTCTTGTAGGCGCCGATTGTTCAACGTCGGTAGTTTGGCGCGACTTAGCAGTTCTTGATAGGACGCTGATCTAGTTTTGTACACCGCCCTAAGTGCTCGCTCCTGAATCCGCTCAAGCTTTCTCCGATCCGATGCATTACAAAAGTGCCATACTAAATGACAGTAGGTTAGATGGGGCAGAATTGAAGACCTGTAAAGTGATAGTTTAGCATTACAGGGTATCAAATTGCGTAGCCGCACTAGGACCCCTACTTTTTGACTGGCCTTAGAGCATAGATCACTGATATGACTAGTAAAACTCAATTTTTCATCTATTTGAACTCCTAAAAGCCGTATTTCCCCCATTCTGTTAATAGTATGACCATCAACAGAAAAATTTTGATTATCGTTGTCTTTGTCAACATTTCTCGGGTTGATCGTTAATAGCTGGAACTTTTCTGGGTTGGTTGAGAGATAGTTGTTCTTGTACCAGGATAGAGCTTTCTCTCCATGTATCTTGATACTTTGCGCGACAACGTCATGCTTCTTCCCCAAGACATACATCTGATGGTCGTCGGCATACGTGCTCAAATTAGCATTATTTATATGAAATGACATATCATATCGGAACAAATTCCATAGAAGGGGGCCAAAGGACGAGCCTTGCGGGAAGCCAAGCACCATCCTTTTCCAGTCACTTGTTACTCCTTTTATTTTCACTCTATTGAGCCTATTGTCAAAGTATGATCTAAGAAGGTTGAGAGAATTTTGTCCAATGCCATAGGCCTAGAGTTTCTTTACGATTAGAGAATGGCTAAGAGAGTCAAAGGCTTTACTCAAGTCAGTAGACAGTATGTACACCAGTTCCTATCTGTCAACAGCTGATTTCCAGTCTTCCACGAGTCTAAGTAGAGTGGTCTGACAGCTATGATGTCTTCTATAAGCTGTCATTCTCTGATAGAGAGTTGGATCATAGTGCCCGGTGATTTGCTTACTGAGCATATGCTCAAATGTCTTATTTACGGTAACAAGGGACGTGATGGGACGATCGTTCTTCGCCAGTTGTCTGTCACCTTTTTTAAACACTGGCGTCCACTGTCCCATTTTCCACGCACAAGGTCATCGCCCCAGCTCGATACAGCTGTTGTAGAGAGTCATTTGCGATGGGGCAATTTCGCAGGCCACGTTCTTAAGGAGTTTAGGCGGTGCTCCGGGGTCCCACCCACAGCACTTAATGGGGTTGATATTTTCAAGCGCCTTTTGCACTTGATCCTTGCTGACGCGATTGAACTCGAAGTGCGTTCCTTGGTATGCTTCTCTTAGATCTCTTTTAATTGTGTGCGACGAAACGAACAGCCCTTCGCTGGACTTTTTCGATAGTTTCAGTGTCCCTGTTGGTGTGTGGATTCCAGGCAGCGCTTGCATATTCTAGTAGAGGTCGGATAATTGCTTTGTGGGCTCCTTCCTTGACTTCGGGCGTACACGGTTGTGAAGTCCGTTTGACCAGCCCGAGAGCCCTATTGGCTTTGTTGGAAGTTTTGTCACAGTGTTCTTTCCAATTTAGCTGCTCGTTAATCTAAAACCCAGATAATCATAGGAAGTTACATGTTTCAAGACCTGACTATGCATGTAATATAGTAGTATGACAACGGATCGCTTGTTGGTCAAGGAAATGTGGTAGCATTTCCTAACATTAAACTCCATTTGCCAAAGACAGGCCCATGAAGTTAGTCTGTCAAGGTCTTGTTGAGGGATGAGATGATCCGCAGGTGATACAACCTGTCGGTACATAATGGTGTCGTCAGCAAAGAGTCTAATATTTGACTTGATGTCACCCACGATGTCATTTATGTACATCAAGAAAAGCGTGGGGCCTAAGAAAGACCCTTGGGGAACACCTGAGATAACCTTGCACGGGGTAGAGTGTACGCCGTTTACATGGTACTTTGGGAGCGGTTGCTTAAGAAACCCTTTATCCATAATAAGGTTTGGCCTTGAATACCGTATTGACTTAACTTATGTAAGAGCTTTGGATGTGATACTTTGTCGAAAGCCTTGCTGAGATCGAGTTGGATAACATCAGCTTGACCCTTAATGTTGAGAATGCAGGCCCACTCGTGAATGGCTGAGACCAGTTGCGTTTCACAAGACAGTCTGGACCTGAAGCCATGTTGGTGTTTAAAAAGGATGTTATTTGTGGACAGGTGCTTGTGGAGGTGGCTAAGTACTATGCGCTCCATAATCTTGCAACATATGCAAGTCAAAGAAATGGGTCTGTAATTTTTTGGATCTTGCTTGCCGCCCTTCTTATATATTGGTGTAACCAAGGCCTTTGACCAGTCATCAGGTAGCCTGCCGAAATCGTAACTTTGTTGAAAAAGAGAGGTAAGTACAGGAGACAATTCGTTAGCTAATAACTTCAGTATACGAGGTGACAGATTGTCCGGGCCACATGCTTTGTTGGGATTCAAATTGCAAATTTGCTTCTTGACACCATTTACATAAAGTGACTGATATGGAATTGGCGGATAATCAGATAAACCAATTTCAGGTAGGAAACCGTCATCGTCCACGAATACAGATTTAAAATGATTGTTTATGGCTTACGCTTTATCTTTACTGGAGAGATAGAGGTTATTACGGCTCTGAAGTGTTGGAACCTCTATGGAGTCAGATCTGCAAGACTTGACGTAATTCCAAAACCGTTTTGGGTTGGAGTCCAGGCTCCCTCCAATCTCGTTGTTGACATAGTTTGAATGTGATGGCGGAAGCATATCCACAACTTTATTGCGCTGTTTTCTGTATGATGCTTTAATCGAGGGGTTGTTCGAGTGGGTGACTAGTGAATGCAATTTATCCCTTTTTCTCATTTGGCGTTTGATAGCCTTGGTCACCCAAGGTAAGGAGGATTTAGCTTTGGTCATCTTCCTTGGAATAAAAGTGTCAACAGCTGAAGCCAAAGAAGTTTTAAACATCACCCAGTTTCCATTTACAGAACGGGCATCGGGATTGGAATTGAAGAATTCCTGATTGATACTTATAACTGCACCCTTAATGCCCTCAAGGTTCATGCGGTTGTAAAGATGCACCTTGTGAGGCGGCTTGTTTACACGAGATGGTTTAGTGTTGATTGTAAAGATTACTATATCATGGTCGCTCATGCCGGAATGAATCTGCACATTTGTCACCAATGA